ACATCCACAAGTCAATCAACGTGATTCACTACATTAACAAAATGAGAAACAAAAACTACATGATCATCTCAATAGATGCAGAGAAAGCATTCAACAAGATCCAACATCCATTTATGATAAAAACCCTCAATGAAATAGGTATAGAAGGAAAGTACCTCAACATAATAAAGGCCATATATGACAAACCCAGAGCCAACATCATACTCAACAGACAAAAACTGAAACCCATCCATCTCAGAACAGGAACAAGACAAGGGTGCCCACTTTCACCATTCTTATTCAACATAGTACTGGAGGTTTTGGCCAGAGCTATTCGGCAGGAAAAAGAAATAAAAGGAATCCAAATATGCAACGAAGGAGTAAAGCTCTTGCTGTTTGCAGAAGACATGATCTTATATATAGAAAACCCCAAAGAATCCATAGGAAAACTATTAGAAACAATCAATAACTACAGCAAAGTTGCAGGGTATAAAATCAACATACATAAATCAATAGCATTTCTATATGCTAACAATGAACTAACAGAAAAAGATCTCAAGAACTCAATCCCATTCACGATCTCAACAAAAAGAATAAAATACCTTGGGATAAATTTAACCAAGGAAGTGAAAGATCTATACAACAAAAACTACAAGACCTTCTTGAAATAAATCGATGACAACATAAAGAGATGGAAAGACATTCCATGCACATGGATTGGAAGAATAAACATAGTTAAAATGTCCACACTACCTAAAGCAATATACAGGTTCAACGCTATCCCAATCAGAATTCCAATGTAATTCTTTACAGAAATAGAACAAAGAATCCTAAAATTCATATTGGCTGACCAAAGACCCCAAATTGCTAAAGAAATCCTGAGAAAGAAGAACAAAGCTGCAGGCATCACAATCCCTGACTTCAAAACATACTACAAAGCTACAGTAATCAAAACAGCATAGTACTGGTACAAAAGCAGATGCACAGATAATGGAACAGAAAAGCCCAGAAATAAAACCACACATCTATGGACAGCTAATCTTTGACAAAGGAGCTGAGGGCCTACAATGGAGGAAAGAAAGTCTCTTCAACAAGTGGTGCTGGGAAAACTGGACAACCACATGTAAAAGAATGAAAATCAACCATTCTTTTTCACCATTTACTAAAATAAACTCAAAATGGATCAAAGACCTAAAGATTAGGCCTGAAACAATAAGTCTTCTAGAAGAGAATATCGGCAGTACACTCTTCGACATCAGCTTCAACAAAATCTTTTCGGACACCGTAACCCCTCACATGAGGGAAACAATAGAAAGAATAAACAAATGGGACTTCCTCAGACTAAAGAGCTTCTTCAAGGAAAGGGAAAACAGGATTGAAACAAAAAAACAGCCCACTAATTGGGAAAAAATATTCACAAGTTATTTATCCGACAAAGGGTTAATCTCCATAATATACAAAGAACTCACACAACTCAACAATAAAAAATCAAACAACCCAATTACAAAATGGGCAGGGGACATGAACAGAATTTCTCCAAAGAAGATATACGGATGGCCAATAGACACATGAAAAGATGCTCATCATCACTAATCATTAGGAAAATGCAAATCAAAACTACACTCAGATACCACCTTACACCTGTTAGAATGGCAATAATATCCAAAACCAAGAGTGACAAATGTTGGAGAGGCTGTGGAGAAAAGGGAACCCTCATACACTGCTGGTGGGAATGCAAACTGGTGCAGCCACTATGGAAAACAGTATGGAGATTCCTCAAAAAGTTAAGAATAGAAATACCTTATGACCCAGCCATCCCACTACTGGGTATCTATCCTAAGAACCTGAAATCAGCAATTCCAAAAGTTCCATGCAACCCTATGTTCATCACAGCATTATTCACAATAGCCAAGTCATGGAACCAACCTAAGTGCCCAGCAACTGATGATTGGATAAAGAAGATGTGGTATATATATACAATGGAATACTACTCAGCCATAAAAAAGGACAAAGTCGTCTCATTCACAACAACATGGATAGACCTTGAGGGTATTATGTTGAGTGAAATAAGCCAGACAGAGAAAGACGAACTCTGTATGACTCCACTCATAGGTGGTAGTTAACATATGGACAAAGAGAACTGATCGGTGGTTGCCAGGGGAAAGGGGGGTGGGGGGAGGGCACTAGGGGTGAAGTGGTGTACCTACAACAAGACTAATAATGATGTACAACTGTAATTTCACAAAGATGTTAACTTTCATAACCTTAATAAAAAATACATATTTTTAAGAAGTAGTGTAACTGGTACAAAAATATGGTAAAAATCATGAAAGTGGTAAGCAAATTATTAAAGTTTAGGAAAATCATGTTTACTATATCATGCCACATCCCTCCAAGATAAGATAAAGGACTTCAACCAATCTATCTGCTCAGGACACCATGAGAAGACAATTCTTTAACGTGAAGGTGATGACAGAATAGTTGGATATATGTTCATTTAGCAGAAGCAGGTTAAAAGCGTTAGGACAGGGTATTTTATCCAGGAATGATGGAGGGCAGCTAGATGGGAGAGTTGGGCCTGAGCTTTGACGTGTCACAGAAATGCTTATGTTTTCAAATCTGAACTCTTGGATTAGCAGAGGGTCAGGTAGAAACTCTGTGACCTCTTCTCCTGTAACTGAAGGTGAATATTTATCAGAAGAGCTCTGTTCAAATCCTGCCCCGCCACTTCCCAGCTGGTGCCCTCTGCCACGTCGCTTAACCCCTTTGAGTTTATAAAAAAGCTGTGTTGTGAGGAATAACTTGAAAGGCAGAGTGAGGGAAAGACTGAAAGAGAGGAAGAAAAAGAGAAGAATGATGAAAGAGAGGAAGCCAGCTTGGAGGGACTGGAAAAAGAATGGGAGCTGGTGAGATGATCTCGGCCTTTCTGTGCTGAAATAGTCCTTCTCGTCACAAGCTGCTAGATTTTCTCCTTATGAAAACGTTTCTAAGGTGGCAGATGTACATATTTTTAAAAATTTTCCCGAAACATAACACTCCAACGGGATGTGTTAGAGAAACGCCAAGAAAAGAAGGCAGAAGGAGGTAAAGTCCTCGGATGCAGAGGAAGATAAAGTGCTTCCTGCGTGGATCTCCAGAGACAAGTCTCACCTCCTCCACGAAGCCTCCCTGGCCTCCTTGAGGGACCAACCGTCTCCTCTTGAGCTCCCGCTGTGTTTACACACCTTCTTCGGGGGGGCGTGCAATGGCTCAGGAGTTTCTGTTTGTCTGCCATTCCCATTGGATAATGAACCCCTTGAGGTGGGGACTGTGTTTACTCACCCTCTGTATTCTGGTTACTCCCACAGAACCTGGCACATGTGATATGCTTGATTACTGTATATGGGATGGATGCGCCTGGGTTAGGGGACTTAAAGCCATGTCCTTTGAGTGATGACTGGCAGTCCAGAGGACGTTTAGCCTGGGGAAGAGACAACTCCGGGGAGACATACTCACTATTTTCCAATACTTAAAGAACTATCTTGAGGAAGTGTATTTGAAATGGGCTGCATGGTCCCCAAGGCACAGCTAGGACTAAGAAAGCAACCTTGAATCACTGTAGGAAATTCTAACCATCAGAACTGGCCAACGATGCCATCTCGAGGGGCCAAAGGCTCATTTCAGCAGAGACTGGATAGTACTTTTCAACGTTTCAGATACTGGATTAGACAATCTCTGTAGTCTGCCTGTCTTCTACTGCATATGAGTCTCTTCTCTTTTGCTTGTTAGGTTTCTGGATGATTTTTAAACATCTCCCCACTGGGCACCTCTATCCATTCTTGGAACCATAGACCTCAGAGCTGGAAGGAACCTCAGAATTCATTTGGTCCAATCCCTTCCTTGTACCACTCTACAGATGAGAAAACCAAGACCCAAGTCAAATAGCTGACTTATGGCAGAAGATAGGCCTGGAACCCAGGGTTCTCTTCATTGCTCACCAAGACATGGTGCCATTGTGTCTGAGCAGTATGACTCTCTTCCCTTTCCTTGTATCTGTGTCTTACATTCTCTCAGCAGGTACTTTACGTCTATTCCCCATTCTACCACTTAGGAATAAAAATTGAAGGAGACAGTTTGCAGAATTAGCACAGACTTATAATGAAAATGTCATCATTCTTTTGATAAACTGTATTGCATAGTGGTTAAGGGCCACGAGCTTGGGGCAGAATGCACGGCCAGTGAACAGCGGAATGTCCCCTATGTCCATGAGCTCTGGTGCAGGGCTTCCTGTGCCCAGAGGCAGAGGCTCCTGTTTTTAATCTACACAGGTGACATACGGGATTGCAACTTGAGGGTCGGAGAGACCTGGATTCTGGTTACTCCGCTTTTGTAGCAGTGTGGCATTGGGCAAGTTAGTTAGCCCTCTAACCCCTAGTTTGCTCATTTCTAATAGGAGAATAACTATAACTGGGCCTCCCTCTGGGGGGCGGTAAGGTTTGAGTGAAAAAGCATACAAGGCTCTGAGCACAGTACCATAATAAGCACTGAATATATATATATATATATATATTTAAAAGACAGCCTTAGTCTTTTTGTTTTTCTTCCCAGTCTCTTCTCAGATATAAAAAGAGATAGTTGAGTAAAGCTTCTCCTCAACATTTCAGCCTCCTCCCTTTCTATGGGGAACAATCCCGCTCAGTCCCAGTGTCTGTGTCCATGAAAACTTCCCCTTCGCTCCAACTAGATGACATTGCACAGTCACTTCCCTTGTGAGCTTGTCTCTCCCTCTGCAAACGAAGGCAGGAGAGAGAAAGGACTGTCTACTTTCTATTTATATCAATCCATTACCACAGTGTATCCTAATTTTGCAATGTAGAGAAATAAAGGATTTTTTAAAATTGGACTTGAGCCAGCCCTGATGGCCTAGTGGTTAAAATTTGGCACGCTTCACTTCAATGGCCCAGGTTCGGTTCCCAGGCACAGAACCACACCACCTGTCTGTCAGTAGCCATGCTGTGGTGGCAGCTCACGTAGAAGAAGCAGAAGGACTCACAACTGGAATACACAACTACATACTGGGGCTTTGGGGAGGGAAAAAAAAAAGAGAGAGGAAGATTAGCAACAGATGCTAGCTCAGGGCAAATCTTTAAAAAAAAATTGGACTAGAATGCTCCCCGCTCTGACATTATTGAGCCTGAGGATCTAACCTTCCCTCCCCCACTCCCATCCCCTTCCTCCGTCCCAACCCTCTCTCTGCCTTAGAACAGAACTCGCAAGAGTGCACTGTGCAGGTGGGAGGATTGTAAGAAGTAGATTTCTCCTCTGGACCCTAGTAGGAACAGTCCCAGAAATTGCTACAGCGGAAAATGCAGGGAAGCCGAGTACAGATCTTATGGCCTCACTTTGCTGGAGCACAGCCTGTCCTTTAAATTTGAGCTCTTTTCTTTATGATATCACTGTATCGTCCCCATCCAGTGCCCAATTTCCTTTTGGGAAATCCAGCAGCTGAGTTAGAAAACTATAGACCTGAAAGTGCGCAAACTGGGTAATAAAGAAACCAGGTTTCCACAAAAACCTTGCAACAAACCCTGTCCTTATCTGCTCTCCATTTTTTTTTCTCAAGAGCCAAATGTCTTAAGTTTTTCTGACCAAAAGACATTAATTTTATCTTTTCTTCTTTGTCCCATTTTAATAAAGAGAGGCCACAAGCTGGTTGACCTAAAGATTTATATGTAAAAATTTTCAAAGAAAACTCAAAATTTAAAAATTAGGAATATGTGAAAAGGCATTTCTGACTTCTCTGGGGAAAACTACACACAATTAAGGAACAACGAGGCCATGTTTCCTCAGGGCAAAAATGGGCTGGGACTAAGGAGCAGCTGCCTCTTTGGGGCAGGGACTGTCCACTGACCAGTCTCTGTTCCTCCCTTGATTGCTGACCCCCATGGTCAATGTCGATTTTATACCGTTAATCAAAGCCCACTTCACTAGAGCTTGATGACTGAAGAAAAATGAGTTTATGACTCCAGGAATAGATTGTAACAGCAAAAGTCTGTGAATCAACAACTGTGGGAAGTTATTTGCAGTCAACTAGAAAAAAATTAAATGCAGTGAGGAGATTACAAAAGTGTCTGGACCTGGCGTATTATGGACACTCAATAAAGAGTCATTGCTATTCATAGTAGCAGCATTAAAATTATATTACTTACCTGGAATGTATCTTGTCACTTTGAGGACAGAATTAGGTCAGTGGTGCATCCAAGGGAAACACAGACGGGACTCTAAAAAAGCATCGAAAACCAGTGTAAGTCTTTACTAAGCGCCCTTGAAAACAAGAGGGGAATTATATCGCAAACCATACCATTATTTCATGAAAATCCTCATTACAAAGTTCTGTGCCCAGAGTTCCACTCCTCAGGGTGACAGCTCTTTTGATTGCCTCCATCTCTTCCCACCCCCAACCTCTACCCCCTTCCCCCCTGCTCCTTCCCTGCTCCCCTTCTTTCTCCTGAAAAGCACTCTGGCCTGCGCTTGGCCTCTGTTACAGCCCTGGTTAGAGGGTAAAGAGAGCAGGCACAGTATCTGAAAATACTTACATTCGGTGTTCTCTTCTTTTATCCTTATCTCAATTACTAATATTTACAGGGCAATTCCTGAGAAACTGCAGAAATCCTTCCTTCATTGTCAGATAGCCCAGAAAAGACTTCATAGAATTTAGGCTGGGGTGGGTTGACAAGACCCATAAGAGGGGCCCGTATAAAGTACACTAGGAGTATAGAGATGGGGCACAAACGGATGTAAATTGGGGAAGTCCAGACAATGTCCTTCTCCCTCCCATTACTCTGCTACCCCAAACATCGCTCCCCAGCATTCCCAATGAGCTCAGCAAGAAGGAGTGGGAGTTTCGGGCCTGGGGTGGTCATCTCTGGCTCGCTTCTGAGAGGAGGGAGGGGTCCAGGTGTCCTTCAGTAGAATTCTGTAGTGCAGAAGCTTCTTCAGTCCTCTCCCTTCCCTTTCATAAGCCTGCCCAGGCCTCCCTTCACCTTCCTCTTCACATCCAGTTTGCTAGGATCCCTGCGAATAGGCTGAAAGTGTCCTCAGCAGGAAAGCAACTGCTCCTTTTCCTTCCTGTCCTCTACCCGGGAGTCTCCGGTGGGTGCAGGCCTGGGCCAGGGCCAGGAGGAATACAGAAGAGTCTTTTGAGAAGGGCGTTAGAGGTCTTGTAACAGCTATCTGGTTTGAAATCCAAGGATTATTTCCTTCCTGTGTGTCTTCAGGCTGGATGCTTTCCTTCTCTGATTCTCAATTTTCTCTTCAACAAAATGGAGCTATAATCCCATCTCTGAAAGCCTCACAAGACTGTTGGAAAACCTAAGCTATAAAGTGAGGTGCTCACCCACTGGGGAATTGTCCTTGCTCTAGCTCTGCTTTGCCACCTGCAGTTTCCCAAGGTGACCTCTCTTCTTGCAGGGAGACTTGAAGACTCCTTCCCCTGCCTGTTATTCTGGGGGTTTGGCAGTCTTTCCTTGTCTATGTGAAAGTAGTCTCTCCCTTGGATGTCACCGTTGTGAGACCTAGGTCTGGCTTTTCAGAAAGACCTTTAGATGAAGTCTAAGTCTGTGCCTTTTGACTTAAAGGACCCTGAGAATATCTCCCTCACTCATTCACTCATTCATTCATTCATTTGATTAGAGGACAGCCATCATTCATCCAATGCACTCTCTTTGAGCCTTTAGTCTGCCTCCCATGTCGAGGACAGAGTTAAATGACCAAGTCCAAGGCTCAGGGTTCTAGGAGCTCAGAGTCTGCCAGGCATGCAGCTGAGTAACCAGACAGCTTGCAAAGTATGAGATAAGGTCAGTGACAAAGCGTCTCTTTTTTTTTTTGAGGAAGATCAGCCCTGAGCTACCATCTGCTGCCAATCTTCCTCTTTTTGCTGAGGAAGACTGGCCCTGAGCTCATATCCATGCCCATCTTCCTCTACTTTATACGTGGGACGCCTACCACAGCATGGCTTGCCAAGTGGTGCCATGTCCACACCCAGTATCCGAACTGGCGAACCCCAGGCTGCCGAAGCAGAACATGCACAGTTAACCACTGCACCACCAGGCTGGCCCCCCAAAGTGTCTCTTATAAGCCTGCAGTCAATATGTCGGCCTGAGGCTGGAGTGACATTGGCTCAACACGAGGTTGACATAAGGAAAGGCATATTGTAGGAAAAAAACCATATTGTAACTCTTGTTTTTGGTGAGGAAAATTGGCCCTGAGCTAACATCTGTTGCCAATCTTCCTCTTTTTGCTTGAGGAAGATTGCCATTGAGCTAAAATCTGTGCCAATTTTCCTCTGTTTTGCATGTGGGACACCGCCACAGCATGGCTTGATGAGTGGCATTTATGTCCACGCCTGGGATCCGAATCGGTGAATCCCGGGCCACCAAAGTGGAGCGTGAAAACTCAACCACTACACCATGCCAGCCCCATATTGTAACTTTGAATGACCTCTGACTAACCAACGCGGCTGGATATGCATCCTCCAGGAGATCTACCTGCTCTGTAGATTCTGTGACCCCTGCTAGTGTAACTACCTTCCAGCTGCAATAAGATGATAACTTTGTTCTTTTAAGTTCCTTAGGAATGTGATGACCCCTGGGCAGAGAGTCTACCTGGTGTGGTGACACTGAGCCTATAACAACAGAGGGTCAACATTCCTAACCCCTTCTCCTGTAACCCCCTGGCCTATATAACTGCTTCAAGATTCTGTGCCACCCCTTAAGATTGTTCTTTAGGACACTAGTCCCGCATCTTCCTATTTGCTAGCTTATCGCTTAATAAATGCCCTTTCTCTGCCACCATCATGCACCTTACGATTGGCCTTTGTCTTGGGGTGAGCAGATCATCCACTTCCAAGATGGACTCACTCACATAGCTGCTCAGGAGACTTTAGTTTCTCACCATGGGGACCTCCCCATGGGGCTGCTTGAGTGTCCTCACAACATGGCATCTGTCTTCCTCCAGAGAGAGTGACCCAAAAAAGGGCAAGGCAGAAGCCACCCTGTCTTTTATGACTTCACCTCAGAAGTCGCCCTCCATCATTACCATAGTATCATATAGGCTACACAGGTCACTCTATTCATTGTGAGAGGGAGTGAATACTGGGACAGGAGAATCATTGGGGGCCATCTTGGAGCCTGGTTACCACAATGCTCCTTGGAAAATCTTCAAATATCTTGATTTGTGAGTTAGTCCTTTCATGGAAGCTCCCTGAGCACTGGTGCACTGCCTCTGTTCTGCCCCTCATCAAACCTCATCTTGGGTCTCTGGCCTATCACCATTTCCACACAAGTGTAAAAATCCAGCCACACTTATTCTCATAGAGCAAATGTGGGGGGGTGGGGATGATATCACACAAAATGCGCCTTTCAGCCATTCCTGGCTCCACCTCTGGAAGTCCACCACCTCCTAAAAGCCCACTTTCCTAACACCCTATTCCCAGCTGCTTCCCTGATGGAGAGCAGTCTCATGTATGCTTTCCCGGTCCTCCAGGAATTCTGCTGAGTAATGTTTTCTCCATCTTGTCACGGAGGTGTTAATAAAGAGGGAGCCCAGAGGAGTCACTGACTCTGTATGAGCATGAGGGCGAAGCATCCCAGGATTGTTGTTGAGGAAGGACATTCCTTAGCCCAGGTTTCATGTGTTTCCCTGGAGGGACCTCCTTAAAGGGAGGAGCAGTGGCTTACGTGACTGATGAGTTTGGAGGAAAGAAGAACACATACACGGCTCAGCATTTCTCTCTCTCTCTCTCTCTCTTTTTCTTTGGCACAAGCCCGCAAGAACCTGGCAGATCAAGTATATAGGACATTAACAATTGCCTGGAGCTGAGTGAGGAGTGGGTCAGAAGCCTATTAGGAAAGGATATGGGAGACTTTCATGAGTGACGGATATGTCCATGACTTTGATTGCATTGATTTCACAAGTATATAGGAATGTCAAAACTATCAAATTGTACGCTGTAAATATACGCAGTTTATATCTTAATAAAGCTGGGGAAAAAACTGAATAGGTAAATGGAGAAAGAACTGTGAAAAAGCCTTTTCTATAATTACATGATTTTATGTAAAAACCAATGAGAGTCACCTATAAAATTTATATGTACACACATAGAAAATGAAAAAGAATTGTTAACCAGTTTTAGAATCTTCCAGATAAAGAGCATAAGTGGATCTTTTAAACCCATGTGTTAAAATTATTGTAATGCCACATCTTCCAAATAGTTTTCAAGAAAAATTGATTAACAAAAAGGAAGATGGAAATTAACTAGTTGAATTTCAACAAAAGTAATGGAGTATATAGTTGAAAGAGGAAATTAGGTTTTGATATAGTCTCAGATCTACATATCACTGTGAAGCATCTTTTTCTTAGCTATTACAGCCTCAAAACAAAGCATCAAAAAAAAGCTGAAATGAGAATAGACCTTCAAATTGCTATACAGAACTTATTAAATTGTTTTTTAAATAATGAAATACACTTAATCACATGGTACTCATTAAAATATTATCATTGGTAAAAGGTTTTTTTTCCTATAACTAATAGATAAAATAAGATACAAATAATTTTAAACAATTTGTATTATTTAACAGATAAAATAAAATTTTAAATATTCAAAAAATGTCCACCTAATTCTAGGGCCAAATAGTAACAAAGTCATTTAGCCTTAAACATAAGCCCTGCTTTCCAACCTAGACTTTATTAATAATAAAAATGACATTTTTATCTCAATCAGCCAATTCCTGTGTCTACATCTCAAATAGTTCTGAACTGAGCAGGGGAAAAGTGGGAGTCATTTATTGAACTCCCAATAGTGGTGACATTTGGCTTGATTTTTGAAGACTGAGTAGAAGGTCACCAAGTAAAGATGTGGGAGGGGGCATCACAGGCAGAAAGAGTCACATCATAAAAGTCATGGAAACAGTAAAGAATCTGGTGCCCCAGGGAAGCGCACGGCTGGGGTTCTTAGGGGGCTTGTTGGACAGCGGCAGTAAAAGAGGCTGCTGAGCCATAGCCCTGGGTCCTGATCAATGCTAGACACACGTGCCTTGGAAGCAGGGGTTGCGTCCATCATGTTCCCCACTGACTTCCTGGAGCCTAGAACAGTGTCTAGCTCAGGGAAAGGAATGAAGGACATTTTCCACTATGTCTAATGACTCTGAATGTTTCCCAGTGGGTGACGGACGGTTTGGTTCTTCAGCCTTTCCTTTTCTTCCATGAGCTAGCCCATGTCCTTTTTTCTTCAATTAGCCAGGGCTGGTTTCTGTAGCTTGCAGCCAAAGAAGGCTGCCTGACTCAGCCCTCTCAATCTCTCTTCCGTGAGGTATATCAAGGGCATCCAAAGAGCTGTCAATAGGGGCCACAAGTTCAGAAACCCCTGGGTGTGCAGCCACTGGCATTTAAACTAACCAACATGGCACATCAAGAGGGTCCGAATGCGCACTAGATGGAAGTCATTTGTGTACTTAAGTCAAGTGTGTGCAGCATATGAATGAGCAGAAACATTACACACAACCTTTAGGAAAAGACAACAGGCAAGTGCAAGCAAAAAGAAAGCAGATATGCATTATTCATATTACAAAATAAACTCAAGGAAAGCAAAATCTATCTAGATATTTACCAAAGGAAGAGTACTATGTAACAAAGCTTACGGGAACGGGCCAAATCTCTACTTACAAGATTAACAAGCTTAAATTTCCTTATTGTAGAAATAAGAATGAAAATACTTAGATTGAGCAGTCAAATTAAGAAAGCTGACAAACAGAAGGGAACAGACAGAATGAGAAATGTGGTTGGCTGCAGCCAGATTCCTGGGTGTGCAACAGGAAGAGGAGGAAGGGCCTCTCAAATGCACAAAGCGTATCATCAGAGGGGTTCAAGGACAACCAAAGACATCATTGTCACAGAAGCAAGGGGAACAGAGTTTTAATGAAGAAGTAATGGGTTGCAAAAAGGAGGGAATAAATGGCCTTGAATGCAAAAGAGATCCAATGAGAAAATCACTTAAATTTCTACATTCAGCAATTCCTAGTGAGAGGTCACTAGGGATTCTTCTGAGCTTCCCACAGAGAGAAAAAACTTGCAGAATTAAAAGAAAGGACGTTGAGGTAGTGGCCATTTCTTGTTTGCCGCCCAGCATCTCGTCAGCCTTCTTACGGTAAGTGTGCTCCAATTTTGCTATGAAAGAGACGTCCCTCCTCGCTTTCAGCTGTTTGGTTCAGGTGGACTGACTTCCATGTCCAGGGGTTGGTGTGGCAGACTGGGTTGCATAACCCAACACCATTCCCACCCCTCTTCTCCCTTGCCTGCCTCACCTGTACTCATGTTCCCAGTCACTTTACAGCAAGCAGTGGCAATGTGATGTATGGCACAAAGGAGACATAATGTCCACAGACATGATGACTAGAACCAGGGCGTCCATCTTGTGAATAAAAGGGGAAAGATCAAGAGAATCACAGCTCTACCAGCCTGAATCCTTGAACCGCTGGATGGACACCAGTTTTTACGTGACTCCAGACTTTTTGTGATGTTAGAAATGCAAACCCCCGATACAAACCTCACCCATCGGTGGGAGGAGGATCAGTCACGTTGCAGGAAGAACATGTTCCGTGGGACAGACATGTTGATGCAGCCGTCTTTGGAAAATACAATCCGCTATAGACTCTTTCGGTTTCATGTTACAGAAAATCCATGACTAACTGGTTTAAACAAAGGGGAAATTTGTTGACTCGCATATGTGAAAACTCCAGGGGTAGGGCTGAATTAATATCTGTTGGAGAAGAGTTGTGACTTAAGGTATGCTGACCCTGCCCCTAGCTCCAGAGGTGGACATGTGACTCAGGCCTAAGCCAATTCATACAGAACATTTCCCTGATGACAGCAAATTGTTCAGGGATGGGCACAAGAGCCAAGTCAGGACAACTGGAGCCAAAGAAACTCAATTTCCAGGATGTTCATGTGAACTATCACAGAAGCAGACTTCTCTTTTCCCGAAGTAATTGAGCAAGAGAAGATATGTGGATGAAGCTGTGGCAGCATCTTGCCACCATGAGGGGAGAATCTGTCTGAGAGTCAAGCCGGCACAGGAAAAGCTGAGCCCGGAGATGAAGAGGGAGAAACTGGGTTCTGGTGACATAGCTTGAGGTTCATTCAAGCCTTATTTGGAGTTGGCCCTACCCCTGGAGTTTTCACATATGTGAGTCAATAAATACCCTCTTTGTTTAAACCAGTCAGTCTTGGGTTCCTGTAACATGAAACTAAAACTGTCTGCAGTGGAGTGTATTTTCCAAAGATGGTTGCATCAATATACTTACCCCATTTCACATGTTCTGCTTGCACTGTGACCAATACTCCTCCCACTAAGAAACATACTGTTTTTCCACAGTGGCTGCACCAGTTTACATTCCCACCAACAGTATATAAGTTTTCTCTTTTATCCAAATCCTCTCCAACACTTGTTATTTCTTGACTTTTTGATAATAGCCATTCTAACAGGTGTGAGGTGATATTTCATTGTGGTTTTGATTTGCATTTCCCTGATGATTAGTGATGTTGACCACCTTTTCACATACCTGTTGGCCATTTATATGTCTTCTTTGGAATAAAGTTTCAGTTCTTGAAACAGAAATTTGTGAACTGAGATTTGTACTTGCTGTATCCTTAATAAAGTTTGGTTGGTTGTTTTAGGGAAAATGTAGGGATATAAGGACTAGTCAGGGGGAAAGTTTGAGATCCTATACAGCCAGCTGGTAGTAAACTGTTGTGGAACTATGATCCCAGACTCTGCACTTAAGAACAAGACTTAGCTATTTGTAACACCTGCATTGCACGAAGGAAGGAAAGAAGGGAGAACTCACCCGACAGAGGTTAGGACCACCAAGCTCCAATTCCTTAATCCATCCAAATAGAGACTTCCTTTTATCTCCGAGTAAAACCTCAGGTTCTCCTCCAAACACGCCCTTGAGACCGCAGTGGAGGAGGCCATGTGACACAGGTAGGGAAGAGGAGACACTGTAACGACACTCTGCAGGGGACGCATCTTGCAGTCAAAAGTTAGCCAACCTCAAAAAGGCTATTTGGTTACAAAACTCTATAGATAAATGATCCCATTTCTTTTAAAAAATCACAAGGAAAAAGGGTAAGGAAAATCCTATAGATTAAAAGAGACTTAAGAAATATTGCAACCAGTTGGAAAGTAGAGATCTTGTTTGAATACTGATTTGAACAAACTGGAAAAGAACAAGACAATTGAGGAAGTGCGCACTCTGGATGTTTGATTAGACTAAGCGAGTTTTGTTAATTATTTTACATGTGAGAATGGCATTGCGGGTATGTTTTTAATAATTCTTATTTTTTAGAACTGCGTTCTAAAGGATTTATATGAAAAGATGTAATCTCTGGGCTGTGCTTCCAGATACTGGAGGGCAGGCAGGTGGAGGCAGGGACAGAGGAGGCCAGACTGCGCGAGGCTTCGGGAGTGCTGTAGGCTGCTGAGGGGGTCTGTGTTCACTACACTATTCTCTCCCCTCTGTTTACATTTCAAAATTTCCAAGATAAAAAGTCTTGTTTTTTAAAAAAGACTTTTTGAAAGAGTAATAATAACATTTATTTAAAGGAAGTCACAGTTATTTGTCCAATAAAGTATTTAGAGTCCTTATAAAAGCCTTACAGTATTAGTGCGGGTGAGTGAAACATTAAAGATGGTTTTGCTGATTGGGGTTTGCCTGCAAGGTACTGCCCCGTGCTTTATTAGGGAGGAGCTGCTTTCCTCACCGTAGTCTCCACTCTCGGGATAGATGAATCCACATGTTCCTACCTGCGCGTTCACTCGGCTGTGAATATGCCTTTCCAGGGATGGCTGCCGTTCATCATCACTGTAGGATAGAGGAGGTGAGTGAGAGGAAGGAGATCTTCCTGGTCGGCAGCTGCAAACCACCACTGCAAGCAAGGTAAAGACTGCCAGGAAACTTGCAGGCAGGGTTGGCTCTGAGGTCTCCCAGGTCACATAGTTGGTCCAGGTGTTATTTATCCTATATCTCCGTGTGGTCCTCCAAGAATACCCCGTGGGCATCTCTTAGTTATGGATGCTACTTCTTTTTCCAGGCAAAAGCCACTAAAGAGCAGTGAGAACATAGGGGTTGCCTTTCAGCAAATCGTGGTCCTAAATGGTATCTGTGATTTGCAGAGTTCCTAGGCCAGCCCAGATTCAAGGAATAGGGAAGTAGAATTTACCTCTTGATAGAGGAAGGGTGTGCGTGTCCAGGGAGGGAAGGAATTGATGAAAGCCATGTTTGGAGACAATCTACCACAGTCACTTCTCTCCCACATGTAAAATACGCTCACACCTTCCCCCAAAGTCTAATTCCATTAAGGCGTTGGTTTGAAGTCCAGGATATTAACATCTAAATCGGGTCCAGCTGTGAAGGAGGCTCCTCAGCTCAGCTCTTCAGATGCAGAGGGCTGCGGACAAGAAGGACAAGTTCTCCTTCCTGCACACTTTCAACATGCAGTGGTGAGGCAGGGATAAGAGAACCACATTAGACACTATCCTTTACAGAGCCAGGGAACAGCTCACAGCAGTTACCGACTCATGACAGTCCTGAGAGGGAGAGAGAGAAGGAGAAGGATAGAGACATATATAGAGAGAGAGAAGTACATTAGACGCTATCCTTTACAGAGTCAGGGAACAGCTCACAGCAGTTACCGACTCATGACGATCCTGAGAGGGAGAGAGAGAAGGAGAAACATAGAGACATATATATAGAGAGAGAGACGTATATACGTATATACAGACAGAGAGACAGAGAGGCTTATTACAAGGAATTGGCTCACGCGATTATGGCAGCTGAGAAGTCCCACAGTCTGCCATCTGAGCTGGAGACCCAGGAAAGCCCGTGTGCAATTCAGTTAGAGTCCCAGCGCCTGAGACCCCGGGGAGCCACGTGTAACTCCTAGTCTAGGGGCAGAGATGAGATAGCGGTCCCGGCAGCTCAAGCGGTGAGGCAGGAAAAACGGGTGAATTCTTCCTCCCTCTGCTTTTTGTTCTATTCAGGCCCTCAAAGCACTGGATGATGATGCCCACCCACAATGGGAGTCCACCAGCTCAAATGCTAATCTCATCCAGACACAGCCAGAAAAGCCGTTTGATCTCTGCACCCTGTGGCTAGTCAAGTTGACACACAAAATTAACCATCACACATGGTATGGGTGTACCACAGTTCATTTAATCATTCGTCTATTGAAAGACACTTGGGTACTTTCTAGATTTTGGCTATTGTGAATAAAGCTGCTATGAAGACTCACGGACACGTTTTTGTGTGAAAATAAATTGTCATTTTTCTGGGATAAATCCTCATGTATGAAATTGTTGGGTCACATGTTAAGTCCATTTTGGATTTTAAAAGGAACTGCCCAACTATTTTTCTGAGCAGGTGTGCCATTTTACATTCTCACCAGCAATGTTTGAGTGATCTGGTTTCTCTGCCTCTCACCAGAACTTGGTGTTATCACTATTTTCTGTTTTAGCTGTTCTTAATATTTTGACAATCAAAATTCCCTCACAAATTTCCAGAATGTTCCTTAAGTGGAACTTTGCTCCATTGAGAATAGCTGGATTGCTGCTTCTCAGACTAGACTGCACATTGGGACTGCCTGGGGAACCCGCCTGGGTCCCTCTATTAGAGATTCTAGTTTAATTGGTCTGGGATGTGACCTGCCATCAGAAATTTTAAAGTTCCTCAAGTGATTTCAATGTACAAATTCATGAAACACTGATGGTATTCTCATGACTCAGTCATTTTAGTCCTAAGCTTTCAAGATCCTGTAAATGAGATGAATGCAAGATTTGAGATAATTTTCTCTTGAATAAAGTAAGATTTAAAAGCCAGTGCTGCAGTTTCCCCGCAGAATGCCAGCAGAGCTCAAAATGGGAAGTAAAAGTAACTGTGACCCAACAAGCCATGCAACAAGAAGAAACTTTTTACAGACATAAAAGACTAAAACCCAAACAAAATTGTATGAAAACAAACCCCAAATGCCTGGCACACATTTCAGTTCATAGAATTATGGTTAAGCGGTAGAAAGAGAATGGGTTTTGGGGTTGGAAGTCCTGTCTAGAGTTCTGTTTTTTCCACTTAAAAACTGCAGGGTCTCTGATGAGTTGTTTGGCCTCTCGGAACTTTAGTTTGCTCGTCCCCGAGATCTGCAACGATGGACACTTTAGAGGCTTTTGCAAAGATGAAATATGTTGACATGTGCTGTGTCTGTCATTATAACACACTGCAATTATGACATTATTATTGACAAGAAAATTAGAAATATTTGCCATTTGGGCAGCATCCCACTCACCCCAACCAATATTTAATGAACGTCTTTTATGTAGTATTTGCTATACATTAACAATTTTACTTTTATAACTTCTTAGTTTTTAAATTTTTACTGTGAAAATCTCAAACATACACAAAAGTAGAAATAATGTAATTTGACGCTTCTCAAGCTTCAGCGTCCCTGTGATGCCTCTGCAGAGCTCGTTAAGCTGCAGATGCCAACTTGGGCCTGCGCTGGGGCCTGAGACGGAACTGCTCAGAAGCTTCCATGACACTCCCGTTGCTGGTCTGCTGACCACAAATACCATACATTCGAGCTGCTCTAACAACATGCCATCAAGGGGGCGGCTTCCACAGCAGACATCTCCTCCTCACCCTTCCAGAGGCTGAGAACTCTGAGACCCGGGTGCCCGCGCGGTCCAGTTCTGGTGGAGGCCCCCTGCCTGGCTTGCCGACGGCTGCCTTCTCTCTGTCTCCTTGCAGGGCACGGCAGAGAGGGGAAGCTGTGGCACCCACTCCTGCTCTGTTAGCGCCCTAAGCCCATCATGGGGCTCCACCCTCCTGACCTCCTCGGAACCTGATCACTTCCCCAGCCTCCACCTCCCAGCACCTTCACTCTGCCGAGCCAGGGCTTCAGCACAAGAGCATGGGGGGGACACAGATACGCAGCCCCTAACGCGAGCATCGGGAGCTTCCCAGGCCGGCCCTCAACTTCGGCCTTTACTAGCTCGTGGCCCGTTTTCTTTCCACCTTCTCCTCATGCATCTCCCCAACCCCCACCCCGCAGATTAGTTTGAAATAAATCTCAGATTTGTCAACATGCATCTCTTTTAAAAGAGATATTGAGGTACTTCCTCAGGAAAAACTAAAACCAAAGACCAACAGTGGCACCCCCCAAATTTAACAGTGATTCCTTATCATCCAATACCCAGTCAGCATTCACATGTCTCTGAATGCTTTTTATTGTGGTGTGTTAATTTGTCTCTTTAGTCTCCTTTAGTGTGAAGCTTCCTCTTCTAGCTTTCTCTTTTCCTGCCCATTAAAAAACAAAACAAAAACCTAACGTGTTTGTCCTGTAGAGACTTCCACACTCTGGTTTTGCTGCTCCCATCCTCATGAGGTCTCTTTCTTTCCTGTATTTCCTGAAAATTGGTAGTTGGATCCAAAGTCTTAATTGGATTCAGGTTTGATTTTTTGGCAAGGCTGTTTAAAGGCGGTGCCATGCACTTCATCAGGCGGTACATAAGCTCTGGCTGTCTTTCTGTCCATAACTTTTTAGGAGTCTCTCCAAACAGTGGGACCTACGATTGGGGTACGCTGCCACCAGGTGGTAACAGCACGCCTAGCCACAGGTCCAAGCAGTAAAACAAGAGAAACACTTTTCCTGTAGGATCTCAGGCAGGTTCCTCATCGAACCTACATTAAATCCCCATGATTCACAACTGTGATACTTCAAAGCTACTTTTTTTTTTTTTGAGGAAGATTGGCCCTGAGCTAACATCTGAGCCAATCTTCATCTATTTTATGTGGGATGCCTCCACAGCATGGCTTGATAAGCAGAGCTGATCTGAACCTGCAAACCCCAGGTTGCCAAAGCAGAGCAAATGAACTTAACCACTACGCCATGGGGCCGGCTCCTAAAGCTACTTTTAAAACAAACTAATGCCGTGTCTGTTTTTTTTGAGGGAGATTAGTCCTGAGCTTACATCTGCTGCCAATCCTCCTCTTTTTGCTGAGGAAGACTGGCCCTGAGCTAACATCCGTGCCCATCTTCCTCTACTTTATACGTGGGACACCTACCACAGCATGGATTGCCAAGTGGTACCATGTCCGCACCCAGGATCCAAACTGGCAAACTGGCCGCTGAAGTGGAATGTGCGAACTTAACCACTGTACCACTGGGCTGGCCCAATGCTGTGTCTCTATAGCAAACAATAATAGCTACAATTTATTGAGCCAAAGAACCTTATATCCATGGTCTCGTTCAGTTCTCACAGCACCCAGGAATATTAAAGCACTGGGTCCGTGGTAACACAGTGGGGAGACTGGCATTTGATGTCTGCACTTGTTCTCTTCACCATTTCTGCGCCTCCCTACCTTCCCTTGTGGTCTGTACAGGTGTCACCTGCACTTTGTCCTCTCCCTCCCCCAGCTTACAGCCCTGCTGATTTTGTTCCTGCACCCCTCCATCCTCCCATCCTTTGTCCACCCGTCCCTGCCCTGGGACACTGGCTTCTGTGGACTCTATCACCAGCTCCCCTCCATCCTCCCGTCCATTGTCCACCCGTCCCTGCCCCGGGACACTGGCTTCTGTGGACTCTATCACCAGCTCCCCTCCATCCTCCCGTCCATTGTCCACCCGTCCCTGCCCCGGGACACTGGCTTCTGTGGACGCTATCACCAGGCTGCCTCTCCTGCTGGCCTCCAATGGATTTCAACAGAATTCAGCCCAATTTATTCCTTGTGCTTCTTCCCTGCTTTGCTGTGTTTCTGAGTGCTACTTCCCTCAGTTACAACTTCTGTTCCACGTGGCCCTCTTCCGTGGTTTTTCACCCAGCTTCAGTTCATACAATTTTCTCCTCCTGCTCCTCAGGCCTCAGGGTTTTAGCAGCTTCCTGCTGTTCTGTTCCCTGGGAGTCTTGACTTCTTCTTTGGCGCCCTCACTCCCGTACCTCCGTAAATAGTATCTTCATTAAGATGTCTCTTAAGGAATCCCAGCAGAGAGATTTTTTTCCTGCCAGGATTCTCTCATACTCTTCACTCACTTCCTCACCTTTCATTTTCTCCTCAGTCCAGTGAGGCCAGCACCCCAGCACTTCCCCGAAGGGGTACCACGTGTCCACCTTTCCCAGCCAATGGTTAGTTCTCAGTTCTCGTCTCACTTGTAATCTGCCAGCAGCTTTTGCAGCACTCCTTGAAGCACTTCCTCCCCAGGCTTCCCAGTCACCATGTGCTTGTCCTCGTACCTGCTCGCCCCTCCTTCTCTTCCTGACCACAGCATGGTGGCATGTCCCTGTGTTCAATGCCCAAACCTCTCCTCCATCTCTACTCTCTTCCTATTCAACTCCTCTACTCCTCGGGCTCAAATGCCACCTCTACAGCTGACTCCCCGTCTGTCTCTAGTCTGTACCCCTC